AGCAGAAAAGTTGAATGAACTAACAGTTTTCGTTCTTATAACATTTGATTCAAATATCTAACTCCATTTCTTTTTGAATGGGCTCATGAACCAGCCCGATCCAACGAATGGAAAGGGGTTATGGGAGGTTTGTAAAAAAAATGTTTTATTTATATGGGCTAACTGTTTTAGATATACAGTACTGTATTAACAAAGATGACAATTAACCATTTTACTTTGTTATTTCCTCCTATTGGTTACCAGAGATATTCTAAACGTAAAACGTTTTAGAGCTAATATCCCTATAGGGAATTTGCTATAGCCGCAGATGACACGGTAAGGCGGCTATAGCAAATACCAGACCCGGGACTGATCTACACTACACTCCTTAACAATGTACGTTGTACAATGTACATTATAACACAATGTATATTTGTGTAATTTTGTGGCCGTGAATGCGATAACTCGAGTTATTTTCGTCCGATTTTGATTAAACTTGGCTTGAAGGTGTAGCGTGATAGAGAAATTTCATAGTGGAATGAGTTCCTGAAACAGCAAGATTGGGTCGTGGGAACAAGATGTTATGAGATTTTACAATTTTTCAAAAATGTTTATTTCTTATTTTTACCATTAAAACATGTAGGTAAGCGTCCATTTTCCATTACAGCCATCGTGTAGAGCCTTATATTATAAAAAAAATATTATATATATTTTAAGTGTTGAACATAATGGAAAAATTCAAAAAATCAATATATTTTAAATTCTCACGTTTTTCTTGTGGAAGAAATTAAAACTATCTCAGATTTTTGTTTTTTATACGTTGATCAAATTTGACAAATTTATTTATTTCATACTATAATATAAAAATTTAATCGACGAAACCCTTTTTACCGTAAATTTTGTCTTGGTGGATTTAATTTGTGTTGTAAGCCACTGCTTATATTAATCCAGTAAAATCAGCTGGAAATTCATTTAGTATATGTGTAGACTGCAAAAAGGAAATGTGTATTCTAAATTGTAATTCCTTAAGTCAACGAAATTAGGTTCCTATTAATGGTCTCTAACTTGATTACTGAGAGACAAGGAACTGATTCGAATTTAAGAAAAGAATACAGAATTGTTGTGTTGTTGCCATGTAGCGATAAATTATGTACAATTATTCAGTGTAAATTCACCATGGATAGAGTCCGGGTTTTGTCTTGTTTACCAACAGAGACCTAATTTGCTCGGCCAAATACCAGACTGATTGGATTATAGTTCATAGCGACGCTTTTCACCAATTTGTTAATTTTATTTTGACATTTCTAGTCTTCGACTGTTGGTGTGTTGGTAGACTTGGCTGGTCAAATCTTTAGAAAAACTTTACGCCCACAAACCTAACCGTCATGATTTGGCAGCTTTTAAATGCATAAAGTTATCTAAACATCAATTTATTATTACATAAATCTAGACGGGTTTTGTGAATCTAGACGGGTTTTATCATAAAATCTGTAATCATAAAATTATCAAAACTCTAGCTAAACACGATCCGTCAGTAAATAAATGTAACTTTTAGTAACGGATCATTACGCTAATGTTATAGTTTTTTCCCTAAGGAGAACAATTTGGCCCATATTAAGGAGTACAAGTGGTCGAAAACTCCACCAAAAATGTGTATCGTGCAAACTTCTCTATTTGCACCCCAAGCTGTAAAAGAAACATGTGATTGAAACTTCTTATTTTTTTTGTGCGTATTACGTTGTTGGTATTTCGTCACCAGCATACCAACCCACATGGCCTATGTTAATTATTTTTAATTAAATTTTTTGCTTATTTTATGCGTTTTTTTTATATTTATTTATATAATGGGATTCTGCACATCTACATGCAAATATCATTGCGTAGATTTTCCCTGCGATGCACACGAGCTGAGAAAAGGGGTTTAAAGGAAACATGCTTGCCTATTTTTTTTTTTCAAAATCGTTCATTCATCATAAAAAATATACAAGAGATACATACAAAATTTAAGAAAAATTATCCCCCCGATATAGATATGTTATTCTTTAATATATGTGTGTGGTCTACGCATGTTTAGTCTATATATGAACATTTTAGATTCAGAATATTAAAGCTCGTACAGAAAAAACAGGTCGGTTCCAGTAGATGTTTGAGTCAGGAGAAGTATAATTCTTAACCAATATTAAGTTAACTTTGGAAAATAAGTATTAAGCCTAAAATAGAATGAACCTCCTTGTACGCCTCTGGCTGTTTTATGTCTGTCAATATGAACAACTCTTACTGAAAATGGAATCTTGCAGTTTCTGACTGGAGTAGAAACACCCTTTTGAAGTTCTACACGTTATATTGCCGATGGTGTCATGGCACAAATTATCCGTTATATGAGCAGCGATATTAGTTCTCTCTGTGTTTACTTATGCTATGTTATATTCTTAGTTGCTTCTGGCTCAAGTACTTCCTATTCGTAATTACTAAACGAATAGAAAAATATACTTTTCTTACAGTCACACGACAAAGTTGGCTTCCTGTACTGTTTACATTGTACAGAAAGCTGCTAATTGCTGCATTTTCTTTCTTTGTCGCACATTTTTTACTTTGTCGCTCGGTTTTTACTTTGTTGCACGTAATCTGTGTAGCCTACGCTTGGAAATAGCTTAACAACACTTAAAGAGACTACGACTACTGTTGCAGAGTTTCCCATTTCGTTCAACGCTTGGATTTAACCTACCCTAAAACAAACGTGTTGTTTAGTGTTTAAAAGTCTAATTATTTCTATGCTTTATAATAACTGTAGGAAAAATATAATGTGTAACACAAGTGCAAATTGCCTTTGCTGCACTCGAGTCGTGTGCAGCAAAGTGCCCCTTTGCCCACTAGTTACACAAATAACTTTAAATGTATTGTAGTAGTATTTACCTACGAAATTGCCTATGAAAATAAAAAAAAACAATCAGATCATTATTTGTTTAAAATTCATAGCGAAACAGACTCAATTTTAAATAAGAATTATGGCGATAAAATTAAAATTAAAATGCTGTACAAGTAATGAGTGGGTTGTATTAAAATACTATTTACTTTTAGATATTTTTTCTTTCTAACTTTTAATAATGCAACCCACTAGCACTAGCAATCCCATTAGCAATACAGTCGTGTTTAAGTTACTGACCCAAACCCATTCATGGGGCATGAAATAAATAAATCATAAATAAATATATTTCAAACAAATTTATCCTGCAACCGTTCTACACAATTAGTCTACAAAAGGATTATTTTGTTAAAACGCATGTTTGATGGATTGGTCAGCACATTAATGCTGGACATATACGTCTAAATGACAGCTTGAGTCATTGCTCATCGATACACATCCGACCTACTATAATGACGTGGTCGATTACTCTAATATTGATGGGTAGAGGATCCCTTGGATTATAAACGTACCATTGTATTGTGCATCTATCAGAAAACCATCCATTAATCCAATTATTAATACGATTAAACACAGGGAAATATATCAAGACGAATCAAAATTATTGTCATTTGGATTAGTACCGTTTGGATTATATCACGTTGTGTTTACTTATATAATAGCAAAACAAGTATGTTTTTTACACATGCAGGTTATTGATTCATTCTGAGTATTATTTTATTTTATCCTCATGCTTGTTTTTTCTGTGTTTTTTAAGTAATTTTCTGAGTCGTAAATGCTTGCTATATAGAGAGAGTAATAAAGTGATGCAGATTTAGAGACCCTCAATTATTTTATTGAAGTATTAATCAAGCACTTATTCATCAGAATTTTTCACCATCCCTCCCTCGCATGAAAAAAGCGTCTGGTAAATTTTTTTTCCACCAACAACATTGAGGTACGTTTATATATTTGAATCTACGCTTAGAGACGCAAGATTTATTATGAGAAGATGTAAATTTAATAATTGCACGATTAAATTCATGTGTGCTAACCAAACTTATGTAAGTATTAAAATCCCTAAATGCATAATCTAAAGCAGAATTAAGATGTAATAGCTAATTTAGATGTAATTTGATGAAAATCATCAAACCGAATATTGCAATGAGATAAATCTGTAATGCATATTCGTAATAATGTAACAGCTGCATTAACAATATCAGAGCTTAAGTGTAATAGGTCGGGTTGTACGTAAATTCAATGAACAAATTCAACAATGTAAAAACTGCGTTTAATGACCATGCTATTTTAATGTTTGTAATATTAGGTATAAAGTGATGCTGTTGATTCAACATGTGCGCTAATATTGCATACATGCACAGTGATTATCATGGCCTATAATACTGATGTAATACTTTGGTGAATGAAACAAATACATCAAACAGTGACAGGTTTGTGACAGTACATAAACAGATGTCATCAAAGTTGTCATTTATGCTGACTGGATGTTACCCGTCGGCTTTGCCCGACATACTTTTGAGTTTTATTATGAACCGACTGAAGTTGCAACTTCACTACGGGCTAACATGACCTTTTACATCATTTTCCCCTCCTAAACTAATTATCACCTAAGCTAATTAGACATATAAAAAACCTGAAGTCAAACTATGGGAGAACTTCTTCATTTAAAAATTAACTCCCTTCTTATTAGAGCTTCAAACCGCTCTCTCTGGAACAAAATCTTATTTTTTTTACCAAAATACTATTCACATTCTATCTTCTTTCACGTATGTAAGAACAAGTTTTTTGTATCACATTCTAAAACACTTATATTCTAAACGTTTCTTTTACAAATTACCATTCAATACTTGAATAAAACTATTAAATGCATGTTCATTGAGAAAATCTAAAATAAATCATTATCAAATATTTAAACTAAATACATAAAAGATTAGCACAATTTCATGCCTTAGCCATATTGTTATTTTTTAACGTACGATGCTCTACCTGGGTTAGGTGTTTTGGCCACATACCACAGTTTAGTTTTACACCCAAATGTTGGTCAGTTTGCTCATCTAAATAGATAATGTGATCTTAATTATTACTAATTATTAATTATTTGCTAGCATATAAAATAGACGAGGTTGGCAAACATACTAACTTACTTCTTTTCCTGACATCACCCCTTATAATGGGGTTTAGCCTTATTATATGGTAAAAAGGGACATAGTCTACCAGACAAAACATCTCAGTTGATAAATTAAGGAAGAAAACTCTGACAACATTTCTCTAAAATTAAAACAAAATGCAAACAACCGATTTTAAACATGAATTTAAATGGAAATGGCGTTTTTTGGAATCCTGAAGAAAGACATTCATAATGTTATCTATTAGCTCATTATCTGAGATTTTCAATGTCTTTCATTCACCCAACAAAGAGAAAACACGTAGAATTTGGTCGAAAAAACTAGGAAGCCAATATGCCAAACTTGTCCATTAAATCAATTAGTCAAAATTTTCTATTTTAGGTGACAATACCTATTCGGATGAACAAAATCGGAAAAAACATGAGTAATACTAAATTTAAGCATGTAGCCGATACAACAAACAAAGGAAGAACATTGTGTGTTGAAATGTAACAGCATGGCTAATGGATGAAATTGTACTAATCTTTTGTGGGCACCATGTATTCATTCTTAATTCTAAAATACGTTTATTTTAGCGTGATAACCAATCTCCTTTGATCAGGTCTGCCACTTTCTCACCAATCATGACGATGGCGGCGTTGGGATGGCCAGAGACGACGGTAGGCATGACTGAAGCATCAGCGACTCTGAGGCCTTCTACACCATGTACCCTGAGAGTAGGGTCCACTACTGCTGAGGAGTCCCCGGCAGGACCCATCTTGCAAGTCCCGCTGTAGTGGTAGGTAGTCCCTGTGAGATGTCTCATAGCACATTCCCTGTACGCACGAGAAGCAAACTCATGTTGACTACACCCTGGGACCTTGATTTCGTGGAACTTTGCGCCAACACTCCTCATAGCTTGAGTATCAACTAGCCTTGAAATGAAATCATAAACCTTAAGATACGTTTCAACATCACGCTGATCCGTAAATGTCCCTGCAACAATCTTGGGATAAATGTTTGGCTGGGTGCTTTGCAATAAAATTCTCCCTCTACTATAAGGCTTCAGCAAAGAGGCAAGCCAGATAATTGTGTAGTCAATTTTATTAATTTTTATAAAATTTTCTAGTGATTCGTCTTTGAAGTTGAACAATTTTAAAAGGCCAGTAATAGAGTTCTTATCGTTTCTGGAGACGTGGTTTTGAAGCAGCTCTATGTCAGGGTTATCTCCATCAGCTGTGTTTATGAAGGCTGCAAATGGAAAGGAGTTAGGAGAGGTTAGACTTCCCGGCTTTTTTAAAAGAAAGTTCAATGTGTCTTGATCGTTAGGTGGTGAAAGTGTAACGTTTATATTTAACGTTGAAGCCATCGTTATCATGAGGCAGTGATCTTGAAGATTCTCTCCAACTGGCAAATTCTTTATTACTGGAATCCCATATTCTTGTAATTGCCGCTCGGGCCCTATACCTGATAGCATGAGCAGTTGTGGTGAATTGATAGCTCCAGCTGATACAATTATTTCTTTTTTCGCTTTGACCTCAATCACCTTTCCTTCTCTGTTTATCAGACGTATTCCATGAGCCTTTTTCCGTTGTGTGTCTATAAATATCTTGGTTACAAGTGAGTTTTTGGACAGAAATAGGTTCCTTCTATTTTTGGCAGGCGTTAGAAAAGCTTTTGCAGAAGAGCATCTTCGTTGATCTCTTATGGTTCCTGACATTTTTGTAAATCCAGAATGATTTTTTCCATTGAGATCCGCATTGAATGGGTATCCGATATCTGCTAGACCTTCTGCAACAACGTCTATAGCTTCTTTCACTTTATTCTCAGCCCATGAGCCAACCGTCAGCAAACCATCTCTATTATGATATATTTTAGCATCCTCCGTTGCCCAAATCAAAGGATCGTCCAAGTTTTCGGATTTCTTGAAGTACGGCAAGACCTCTTCGTAGCTCCACCCTTTGTTTCCCGCAGCTGCCCAACTGTCAAAGTCTTTCGGATGTCCTCGTGTATGCATCATGTAATTTATGGTACTCGATCCACCTAGAACCTTTCCTCTTGGCCACTTACATTGGTTCCCTACCATTCCTATACAGTTCTCCTCGTCAGCATCTGTTCTGTACTGCCAGTCGACTTCAGTATCCTGTAGAAATGCAGCTAGCGATGGAACCTCTGACGTCACAGGAGGGTCTCCACCAGCCTCTACTAGTAGCACTCTCCAGTCACCCACCTCTGACAGCCTACTTGCCACTACAGAGCCGGCTGAACCTGCCCCAACCACTATGAAATCAAACTGTTCCTCATGTCCCACATTGTAGTGTAGCGGGTAGTCATTGGGGTTGGCTAATTCTAACTCTGCTTTTTGTATACTCGAATGAAGGCTGGTGAAAAATGGTTCTGCAGCTCCGTAGTTTTTGTTGAAATACATGACATCATTGCATGGGTTTTTATTATAACAGACAAACTCTTTGGATGCATCGTTTACTCCCGGCTCTGCTGAGGGGACTTGAAGGTTCAGAAGACTGTAACAATATTAGGATTGATTCAGTATTGAACTTAAAATAATGATTTTAGAGTTAGAATACTACAGTGGTAGCAAAACGGGAGTGCCGATGGAGACCAGGTCAAGTCCCTTCAAACGCATGCACCCCCACAGGTCTCCATCGGCACTCCCGTTTTGCTACCACTGTATGTGATTTTTAATGTGTAAGCTAAATTATAATTTACAAGGTATAAATGATCAGCCATTATATTATTTTTTAATTATACTAATCTAGTTTTCTTGTTGTAATGCCTTATTTTACATATTTATAAAACGAGCTACTACAATGTGAACAACAACTGAACAACTAAACAACAACACCCAAACTAAATTTCTCAGATAAACCTGATTCAACGCATAAAATAAAAAAAGGTAATATTAAATAAGGTTATGACCCTAAACAATAAAATTAAAAAACCATGTTTTGAGTTTTTTAAATTAAATTGTATGTGATAGTAAAGCACGTCTATAAGATGTACCTAGGTTTGAAATCAGAATAAAGTAAGAGAAACACCATTTACAGCGAAGCTATGAAGGAGACGATAGTAAGTGTGGTTTTTAACAATATTGACAAAGTTTCGTGGTGTTCAAAAGTACTGTTACTAGTGGACATAAAGTTTTAGTTAGAAACCTGGAAATAAAATTATCTGTTTTACCAATTAATAAAATATACAAATTCAAACCGGGTCTGTACTTTGTTTGATGAATTATTTAGAAAATGTTCATCTTTGCAAACGTAACTTTCCAAACTACACAAAACATTGAATAGTCTTTATTGCAGTCGTGATAATCTCACGATTGCGTTAGATTGTCGCTTTATCAAAAAGTGTAATTGCACTCATAAAACTGAACATTGCACTAATCTTAGACTTGCACTTATCTTTTATCAATCGAATCTTCGTGTGATTACACAATAAATTAAGTGTTTTTCATTTGTTGTGATACTGTATACATCATTGCACATATCAGTTAAAAATGCTAGAAGCCATTAGAAATTTCAATTACTCTATTAATCAGATTAATTCGATTTTAAGCATAACTTAATTCACTGTTATCTTGGATCAAAAACGGGAAAAGAAAAACGGACGTTAATAGAATACTAATAAAATTATGTGGTTATTGTCCATTAGATATTCTCAACAATAATAATTCAAGATCAGGAGCCGTTAAAGGTTTTTGTGAATATACATTGAGAAACGTCAACCAATTTTGGTACAAAAAAAAACTTATAACCTCTATTTCAGATTAATTTTCCTCATTTTGTTTTAATAGTGTCGTTGTACAGTAAACATTAACAAAATAAAATTCTAGTATCTTATCCAACAATAGTACAAAAAGCCCAAGTACCAAACTGCAATGTATTTCATAAAAATTATATATTTGTCACACATCAACAATTTAAAATGCAATTTTATTGCTGACAAACTACCAATACAAAAGAAAATTTTAGAAAATAAAACTTAGGATACATTACTTATTGGTAATATAAATCTGCTAGCCTTACGATGCATTTTTTTTTTTTAATTTACTCAAACCCATAACAAACTGAATGCACTGTAAAACTATAGTGTAATCAGTTTAAAATAAATATTTCGCCACTTTGTTTAATGTATTTGTGTTTTGTAAATAACCTTTGAAATCTGAGTCCAGCCTATGCATCTTATTTTAGAGTTAAACTAAGTTCTATATATTAAATGGTATATACATATTAAATATTTTTATTGGTATATATACATATTTTTAGGAACCTACCTGACAGATAGTATTAATCCTACAAGCCACGATCCATCCATAGCGTCAGTCACTTGACACTGATGTTACAGAGACCTTGGCACTGATAACTCACGTAAATAGATAACATTTCATATCTACCAAGTCTTTGGTGAGACGTTTTCTAGCCAGAAAACACCAATTCAGTTTGTTAGTCGATAATGGTGAATCGACACGAAGAATATATTGTAAAGAAAATAGAATATAGAATATATTGTAAACTAGACATCTCTCAGGTAAGGTAAAACTACAACCAATACTGCATCCACAAATTGTTGTACAGAGGGCTGTAACAATTTTGACGCTTCGGGTATCTACAAAATAAATTGTCACAATTGTGATACCTTATACATTGGGTGAACTTTGTTAAGTGTTTCAAAAAACACATATATGGATCTCATGGATGAATCAAATGGACCCAGGAAGATCAAATGTAGCACAAAATTTGTTACAAAATAGCCAATCATTAGGGAGAATGGGAGACAATCTATGAATTTAAAAAATCTTTAAGAAAGGAAATGTGATGAATGTTTAGGAATAATTGTACTTATTAAGGAAAATGTAAAATAGAAACATATTAGCTCAGCAATTAGGTTTCACTTTTTCTACATATTGTTTCTATTTAATTTACTCTTTTTATTACTAAGGGTGATCAACCTCATAAAACTCCGCTAGAGTAAGCTGTCATTACTTTGGTAAGCTTTATAGCAAGAACTAGGTCGAGCTCTTCCATAATCCATGAGCGACGTCGGCTTTTAACTTGAGATACAATAAATCACATAGTGCCAACGCCGTCGTGTGCATTTTTGTACACGCTGTTATATGTCTATTGAAGAAATTAAAAAAACCTTGAAGCTTTACGGTTAACTTTACTATTTTTACTAAGATATAAGCTAGCATACAAATAATATGTTTGTTAAAAAAAACCGTATTATTTGCTATAACTTTAGCAAATTTCCCATATAGAACAAACTATCACCGTAGGTTGAGACCAACGGTGATAGTTTGTTCTATATGGGAAATTTGAAATTGGAAAATGGAGTTTGCTCCATATGGTAGGACCATTGACTATTGGATAGGACCTTGACCCGGGACCGATTCAACCTGGAGGCGAGTTAGCGTAGCGAACGAGCTGACCTGAAGGCAAGTGAGCGCAGCGAACGAGCTCCAACCTAAAGGTGAGTGAGCGTAGCGAACGAGCTCCAACCCTAAAGGTGAGTGAGCGTAGCGAACGAACTTCAACCAGGACGTGATTGAGCCATGCGAACGAGATCATCTTGAAAATTAAGAAGTTAAACGGGGCAAATCCCGCGGGATTATAAATAGTCAAAGGCAAGACAACGTCTGCCGGGTTCAGCTAGTACCTATATATTATTTTTAAATAAATCCATACAGTACATATGTGTGTTTCCTTTACACGATAACTCGAGAAAAAATGTTCAGATTTTGATGAAATTTGGTACAAACTAAACAAACTGAACATACTATAGTCAAGAAGTCAATTTAGTAAAATGTGAACGAATTTTGATGATGATTACTAAAGTATAATTTTCTTCAATTTGCATTATCTTTGTGTATTCCAAGTCCCAAGAACGATTAATAACGTACTTAATAAGTTTACTTTGTGGGTGCCATATTCTTTAAAGTGTATAGAGACGAAGCTCGATGCATATTTCACCACGTGTGTGCCATATTCAGGAGCACAGTTCATATATTGGCATTACTGTTTACACTAAATTCACTACTAATTTACATTCGGTTGTTGGTTGGCGTACAACGCCGGAGTATGAGCTTAAGTATATACACACTTCAAGAACCTGGCAACCAATAGGTAAACTCACTTTATCTATTTTGGTTGTGGTATTTCTGTCTCTTCTGACGGCTGCGATTCAGCGGTCTTTATTTGTTTCAAATTGTATTCGAAAATATAGAAATATAAAAATATAGAAATATCCTTTATTTTGGCATGAGTACTGTGTACGTCTGACTGAAACACGGGTAACGTTAAATCATAGATATTGTAGATCACATTCAAATTGATCTGTCACCCTTAGTATCTGCAAGATAATGCATACACCATATATTGAGATAACATGTTTGTAACGTACAAAAACATATTAATCAAATCAATTAAACCAGTCTGTAAAGGAATGTTTTTATGACGGTTGTAACACATATTAAATTCTCATTTATAACAGATACCTTCCGGCCAAACAAAACTGAAACATGAAACAGAGTGTTATTAAACATTCCAATATTTCTCGTTTAGACGAATCCATCAGTTCAACTGCAAGGGTGGGAATGTTTAGTTTTTTACTGACATTTGTGCTCTGCTCACTGAAACAACATTGCAATGCAAACATTGCGGTTATGTTTTTATTAGCCACTGCTATTTTCATTATAAAAATTATATTCATTTCAAAATCATACTGTATTACTTATATTGCAGTTTAAGTATGAGTATAGGCTAAAGATATGACCTTTGTCAATTCTAGTGCATCAATATTATAAGTAAAAGTGGGACGCCTACTAAAATAAATTGATGAGATGTGATATTTTACTACATGTGATATCTTACTACACTAAACCTTCAGTAATCCGGACGAATCGAGAATCCTGAGTATTTTAAATTAATACCAACAAATACCATTGTTTATAACAACACTGGCGCCTTGTAAATTGTGCCACGAAACTCTATGGTTACAGTAGAAACATTCCTAACTGGACTGTGTGAAATTTTCACACCATGCTATCAAATAGATTCCAAACTACGGTACCTTTCTTTTTACCATACAGAGCGTGTATTGTGTTTATGCTCAGAGTTTATACTAATCTATTAAAAAGATGTTCATCCAAAACTTTTTCAGTTGTTGATTTGAATTAAGGATAAATACAACATTATTGTATTCGAATACCACTAAAAGCTCAATTTTATAACATTTTACAATAAGTTATCAACATGTATTCAAAAAGTTGTTTTTAATGTGTATGGACAACGTCTGATTGACAAAAATCTACTAATCAACAGATTAAATTACTTCGTAGTAAAACATCGTAAGACCAAAGTAAAGGTAACCAGCTTTCAACTAGCTTGTCAAGATAGTTAGGACTAGTTATTGTTACAGACATCAAGAACAGATGCCGAGAGTCAACCGCTGTCTAACTTACCTGAGGAGTCTTGCAAACTACT